GAGGTCAGTTTCGCAAGGGAAAGAACCACCAGGGAGTGGAAACGGGGGAGTGTGAAGCCAAATAAAAACGTACTTTGAAAAGAAGAGGCGATCATGTCTCATGGTGCCCAAAGGTCAGATAAGAAGATGAAGACTGAAAAGTGACCATTTGGTCATTAGTGACCTTAGTGAGAAAAATGGCAGGATGAAACTTGATTACAGTGAATTAAAGAGAGTGGGGAAGTAAGTAAAAGCCACTTTTTCCAGTTTTCATAGAAATGGGACAGTACTGAGTGAGGACTTGAGGTCTAAAAAGAGTTGGGTTTTTTGGTAACTTGTGTTTGGGCTATTCTTTGTTTTAGGATGGGAGAAAGGACAGCATATTATAGGTAGATGGCAATGAACGATGTAGAAAGAGAGCTGAGGCAGCAGCAGAAGAAGCAATTGCAAATTTCAAATCTAGATCAGCTGAAAGGTGACAGGACTGAGACAGGTGAACTGGAAAGACAAGATGTTGGTCAGTGAAATAACGTTCGAATTAGAAATTTTGAATGAGAGATTTTTTAGGTGATACGCGTGTGTAATTGCCCAGGTCTAGGGTAAGATTACCAGTTGATGGTTGAATGTGAAAGAGTCAAGGAGCTAAGAGGCCAAGGTTGTCATGAATCAGAGTAGTCTGGAGAGAAAAAGAGTCAGCGAGTCAGAAGCTAAAATCTTGAGGAAGAGCACACTTGAGAAAGTTAAGCCTGAATGCCCAAAGGCATTTGTGATGACCCCGTATTGTGTCAATGGAGCTGAGATGGAACCACATTTCTCAGAATTCCCATGTCAGTACTGGCCACAAAGAAAATTTTGCACCAGATTTGGAGGAGGAAGTAAAGTAGCAGATGGATTATTTTTATCCTATGAAGGTGATGTAGGACCCCAAGCATCAAGGCAGCTTGCACCAGTCCTTGCTGATGAAAAGTTCCCCTTGGTTGGGATGAGCGAACACTTGAACCTGAGCTTTCCCTGCCTGTCCTCCAGCTCTCCTGCTTCAGCTTCTCCAAGTCCTGGACCACGCTCATGGAGGTTTCATAGTGAAAGGTACCAGCTTCTTGGGCAGGTCACCCCTTGTGGCATTGAGGTTGGCAGTGATTAAGGAAACACCAGTTCCAATTCAACCTCATGGGTTCCAGTTTTCCCAGCTTTCCTTCTCAACTGCCTGTCTAGCCAACCCAAAGTGAATTAAGGCTTGATACCAGACACAGAAGCAACCAACTGTACTACCTGTTGCCCCAGGTCCCACAATTGTGGGAGGTCCTTTCCACAAGAAACCCTCCATCTATCTTACTCAAGGGCTATCCATGTTAACACAAGTGGCAAGATGTCCTTCTTTTTATGGCTAAATAATATTCCATTGTGTATATGTATATATCACATATTTTATTTATTCTTTGGACACTTAAATTTTTTCCTTATTTTGGTTATTGTGAATAATGCTGCAATGAACATGAGAGTACAAATATTTCTTCAAGACAGTGATTTCATCTCTTCACCCAGAAGAGGGATTGCTAGATCCTATGGTAGTTCTATATTAATTTTTTGAGGCACCTCCAAACTGTTTCCCAGTAACTGTCCCAATTCACATACCCACCATCAGTGCACCAGAGTTCCCTTTTCTCCACATTCTCACTAGCATTTATCTTTTTTTATGATAGCCATTTTAATAGCTGTGAGGTGATAACTTTACTGTGCTTTTGATTTACATTTCCCTGATGATTAACGCTGTTGAGAACCTTTTCATGTATTTGCTGGCCATTGCATGACCTCTTTGGAAAAATGTCTATTCAAGTCCTCTATTTTTGTTTTGTTTTGTTTTAATCCTCACCTGAGGATATTCTCTTTCATTTATCTTCAGACAGAGTAGGAGGAAGGGAGGGAGGGGGAGAGAGAGAAAAAGAGAGAGAAACATCACCTGGTCGCCTCCCACAAGACCCCAACCGGGGACGGGACCGAACCACAACCGAGGTATGTGCACTTGACTGGAATCGAACCTGCGACTCCTTGGTTCACTGGCTGATGCTCTACCCACCTAGCCAAACTGGCCAGGGCCTCTGTCCATTTTTAATCAGATTACTTGTGTTTTGTTTTGTTTGTGATTGAATTATGAGTTCCTTATATATTTTGGAGATTAACCCCTCATCAGATATGTGGTTTGCAAATGTTTTCTTTCATTACGAGGTTTCAGCGGGTTTTAGAGCAAGAAGGTGAAGGTCCAGCTCAGAAAGCAGTTTGAAGATATAAGAGATTTTGCTGAGAACAGATTGAGAGCTCCAGGGGAGGGGGGAGTGTGCTCCTGATGGGAATTAAGTCAATTTAAGAGATTTACTGAGTAATATGGGGATTGGTGTCTGAGGGAGGTCCGGTGGTTATCAATGCAAACCTAGGTGTGAAGCACATTGGGACTCATTCTCCTATCTCATCATAACCTTTTTCTCAGGCCTGCATCAGGCACCAGATAGCCCTGCAGTGAGACTGGGGTACTTGGGTGTCCTCGAAGCACACAAACCTCTCTGGAGTCCCTTAAACCCCACTGAGCTGTATCAAGGCCAGAATGGGGCAAATTTTATAAACAACAAAACAAAACGTGATTCTCTAGAGCCATGGTTCTCAAAGTTTGGTCCCCAGGCAAGCAGCAGCAGCATCCCCTTAAAACCTGTTAGAAATGCAGATTCTCTGGCCTCACCAGTCTTGCTGCACCAGGAACTCCAGAAGCAGGCCCAGCAATCTGGGTTTTAACAAGGTCGCCAGGCTCATCTCATGCTCACTAAGGTTTGAGACCCACATTAGCGGAAAGATGCAGCTGAGTGTTGACCTTCTTTATGAGCCCCAAATCACAGAACATTGAAGATGAAAAAAAAATTTTCCTAGTGTCTAGTTCTGCCTTGCAACTTAATATGAAGCACCCAAGTTACAAGAGAAAGTATGCGACTTGTCCAAACCATCTTCCAAGACTGAAATTACAAGTCCAAATAACACAACAGCAACAAGAACCCAACGCCTGGAAACTGGTTGTTTAGATGGGCCAAACTGTTACTGCCTTTCTTTCCTTCTTGAATATAGATTGATATTGTGTGTGTGTTTTATTTGACTCAAGTCAGCGCAAAACGATCTGCTTTACCTCAGGTCCTTTTACAGTTTATTTTGTTTTGTATTGTTTTGGGAATTGCAGAGGTGCAGCTTCCTTAGGCAGACCTCGCGTGTCTGAGGAATGCAGCAGCCTCCGCAGGCACAGGAGGATTTTTTACAGCCTGACAAGTCTGCTGTGGCCCTGTTCTCACTTTTGCCATTTCACATTCACTTGGCCCCCGGGGAGAGGCGGACAGCCGAACTCTGCGCGCGCTGGAGCCCCGGCTCCCTCTGCTTCTGGAGAGGAGATTTAGCCTTAATTTTTGTGACAGATGGAGTTGATAGTCTCTCCACGGAAAGGGGAGGAAAAAAGCGCCAGTTTTTGACAGGCCGCAGACGCCCGGTGCCTCTGGTGGTCGAAGGCTGCGTTGCGCCGCAGTTAAGGTAGTTCGCAAACTCCCGCTCCTGGAAGGCAGGGGCTCTGTACCGGGCAGCTTCCCTTAAACCCAGCGAGGAGGATTGAAACATGCTCTTGGACAGAAACCTGGGAGCGTACCCGTTTACCACCTTCCTTTATGATGTGACTGCAGCCACAAGGTACTGCTCAACATCCCTAAAGGTTTTTAATGCCATTATTTTTTTTATGACAATCGTGTCAGTAATTTATATTCCTAAAATATTAATTTGGTTGATTGATTTGTCTTGCAATTGACAACGGTGCCTGGCTCCAGAGCCATACATGCCAGATCGGCAAATCTGAACGGGGTGCTGGGAGGAGTGGGACCGGGGCTGTAAATATCTCATCAGCACCCCCTAACTAACGTGTGTGCCTCTTTCTTGGTGCTTTTTATTTATTTATTTTTTTTAAGTCTCAAAGTCCCACAATAAATTCTGATTCCCCCCTCCCGCCTGTGATGATCAGGACCCAAAGATGGGGAGCTCTAAAAACAAACCGAATTCTGAACTAGTCGAAGGGGCCGGGGAGAATTAATGCAATTACCCCCCAAAAAAGTTTAAAAGAATCGAACAAAAAGGCCCCTGGCCCAGCCGGATGCAGACAGCTTGCACCTAAACCCTGATCGCTGGTTCTGAGCGCAAGCTGGGGCTCCATATCCGAGCCTCCTTAAGAGTAGGAGGAGCTCCCGGGCCTCTGTCAGGCTCCTTAAGCCCTTCCTTTCAAGCCCTGAATGCCTGAATGTGAGCTGCCCACCACCCTCCCCGCCCTCCCCCACTCCGCAACCCCACTCCAGCGGCTCCGGGAGGAAAAAAAAGTTTCAACAACAACAGGCAGGACCAATAGCATCTCGAAAAGCCGGGAAAGGGGGCCGAGCAAAGGGCGAAGAGAGTGGAGAAAGGAGAAAGCGGGCAGGCTCGGAGCGCGCGGGGCCGGGGCTCGGCGAGCCGGAGGAGCGTTGCTAATGTTTTTGTTTGTTTGCTTTTCCATGCATGCATAATGAGGGGGCACCGCGGCACCACGCGGGGGCTCCCGGCCCACTTTTGTATTTAAAGCCGCGCTGCGAGCGAGTCCGCAGCCGGGTTCAGCGGATCCGCTCCCCGGGCTCCTTGTCACCCGAGAAGCCGCCGCCGAGGGAAGCCCGGGAGCCGCTCTCCGGCCGCGCCGAGTTTCTTGTTCTCCCCGCGACGCCCGGAAAGGGCTCCCCAGAGCTCGGCCGAGGCCGGGGTCGCCGCGGGCGGAGGGGGAGGGGACGCGGGCAGCCGGGCCGCGGGAAGGCGGGCGGCGTACAGACGCGAGCCAGGAAGCGGCGCGATGCGAGAGCCCGCGGTGGCGGCGGCGCGGCGCTGAGCCCGGGAGGAAGGAGCCGCCGCGGCCGCAAAACGGATCTGCAGGCGCGGGGCAAAATGCACCCGCGGCGCTCCGCGGTCCTGCAGCCCCGCCGCGGCCCCGCGGCCCGCAGCCCGCCGAGGCAGCAGTGAGCGCCTCCCGCCACCGCCCGGGACCGACCGGAGGGGCTCTTCGCCGCTGTGCTTTTCTAGGAACCCACCGCAGGCGAACGAGAGCGACCTTCTGCGAGCAGCGGAGCACCAGCCAGCGGCGTGCATGGATTTATGAAAACACTCATGCAAGAAGTTGGCAGGACTGGGGCAAACTTTTCCACCGGCTCCGCGTCCGCCACTCCCCGTGCCTCGTCTCCTTTCCCCTCCTCGCCTGGCTGCCGCCGCTGCCCGCGATGGTGGCAGGGCTGCTGGGCGGCGGCGGCGGGGCCCGCGGAGGGACAGTGCCGGGCGCCTGGCTGTGCCTGATGGCGCTGCTGCAGCTGCTGGGCTCGGCGCCGCGGGGCTCGGGGCTGGCGCACGGCCGCCGCCTCATCTGCTGGCAGGCGCTGCTTCAGTGCCAGGGGGAGCCGGAATGCAGCTACGCCTACAACCAGTACGCCGAGGCGTGCGCGCCGGTGCTGGCGCAGCGCGGCGGGGGCGACGCGGCGGGGGCTGCTGCCGCCTTCCCGGCCTCGGCCGCTTCTTTCTCGTCCCGCTGGCGCTGCCCGAGCCACTGTATCTCGGCCCTCATTCAGCTCAACCACACGCGCCGCGGGCCCGCTCTGGAGGACTGTGACTGCGCGCAGGACGAGAACTGCAAGTCCACCAAGCGCGCCATTGAGCCGTGCCTGCCCCGGACCAGCGGCGGCGGCGCGGGCGGCCCTGGCGCGGGCGGGGTCATGGGCTGCACCGAAGCCCGCCGGCGCTGCGACCACGACAGCCGCTGCAACCTGGCGCTCAGCCGCTACCTGACCTACTGCGGCAAGCTTTTCAACGGGCTTCGCTGCACCGATGAGTGCCGCACCGTCATCGAGGACATGCTGGCCGTTCCCAAGGCGGCGCTGCTCAACGACTGCGTGTGCGACGGCCTCGAGCGGCCCATCTGCGAGTCGGTGAAGGAGAACATGGCCCGCCTGTGCTTCGGCGCCGAGCTGGGTAACGGCCCGGGCAGCAGCGGCTCGGACGGAGGCCTGGACGACTACTACGACGAGGAGTACGACGACGAGCAGCGCGCCGGGGGCGCGGGCGGCGAGCAGCAGCTGGATGACGACGACGGCGTCCCGCACCAGCCGCGCCCGGGTGGCGGCGCTGCTGCGGCGGGTGGCCGCGGAGACCTGCCCTACGGACCCGGGCGAAGGAGCGGCAACAGCAGCGGTCGCTTGGCGCCCCTAGGCGCCTGGACCTGGTTCGCCTCCATCTTGCTGCTGTTGCTGCTCAGGCTGCTGTTTTAGCCCTCGCGCCCTCCCCCGAGCCCCCTTCAGCCTTGGGCTGCGGGAGGGCTCGTGCCAGGGCACCTGTAGCTTGGGGACAGAAGGGATGGTTGGGGACACTTGCCAAAACGTTTTCAAAGTTGACTGTACCCAGCCGTTCTCCCCGCCACGACTTTTGGCACTTTCCCCGTCTCCTCACCCGAGCATGACTTCTTGGACGTCCTCCCCTGCCCCTCATTCCAGGCTCCAGAAACTCCCAGCACGTGTGCCCTGCAGAAACCGGCCTCGGTAGAGTTCTGGACGCCCGGCATGGAATGGGCGTGGGGAGGACAGAACCTAGTCCTGGACTCCAAAGAGGGTACTGGCTAATGGGGCCTTAATAGTTTCAAAGGACTGGGCTTGGAGCGGGGTTTCGAATGGGGATTTATATTTGCAAAGAGGCTGTGTATGAGCATTTTTCCTGTGAGGGGTTAGTGGGGGAAGGACCAGTATCGACTTTTATTGTGGCCAGTGAGGACATTGCAATCTTAAGTAATCAGAGAAGTCCCACTTACCGGTTCATTAGTTTACTCTTGGTTCCAGCGCCCTGAATTTTCAGTTTTGGGGTGAGGTAGGAAGAAGTTAATAATCCTGAATTTAGTTTGGGGTAACTTTGAGTCCTTGACCTTAATTTTATTCCCACCACTCTGATCTCTTAGCACATTTCTTAGGATTAAGGGTCAAAAAAGGCTGATCTAAAAAGTTACTCGTAATATTGAACAATGCAAGTTTGTATTAAATGAGCTCTGCACTGCCATCTATGAAAGCCTCTCTATGATGTTTGTTTTGTCGTTTTTGTTCTTTACATCAAGAAATTGTATGTACAAATATGCGGAGAACATATATTCTGCTTTTATCAGGGTGCTAAACTCTGGTACTTCTTATATAAAGTGTATTAAAACTGGGGTTTGTTACCAGTTGCTGTACTTTGTATATAGAATTTTTATAAATTGTATGCTTCAGAAATAATTTATTTTTTAAAAGAAATTAAAAACTTTAAATCCACATTCATCTTACACCCTTTCTCCCCGAAATGTATAGAAACCATTTGTCACCAGGGATCCAAACCCACAGTCCATTGTGAAGTGTGCTCTATCTACAACAGTCTTAAAATGTACAGTGTATTTTATAGATTTGAAGTTAACATTCTTATTTTCAAGAGAATTTATGGACATTGTAGAAATGTATAAATGCATTTCCAAACTGCCTTAAACATTGTATTTTTATAGACATCGTTTTGTAAGAAAAAAAAAATCTTATGTTTTAAGTAACTATGGCTTTGTGTATTTCTTTTTCTTTTCTTTCTTTTTTTTTTTTATTATTTGTTTTCTTAAAATGTGTACATCAGTAAAGAGTTTTCAATAATGAATATGGTGTAGTTACTTTCCAGAGTTACATTGTGGTTAACCCAATAATGGGTGAGGCGGGAGGTGGAGGAGCCACTGGGAATCTATCAACCATCAACTGAAATTAAAACACAGTACAAGAAATGAGGGCTATTATTTCTGCCTTTAATTTAATGAACAATTAGACATCTGTAAATGAGGCAGCTAAAAAGATATAATTGACTGGCCTCCACTGGTTTTTATGTTTGTGGCGAGAATTCACAAAATAGTGTCTTCTACATAATTTGGAGATAGTCATCTTTTTCCTCCTCCATTTCCACTGGGAACTCCCCCACCCCATCCCCTCTCCAGGAGTGTCCTCCCTGGCTACTAGACATTCTCATACAATCAAACATGCCAATAACATCTGTTACCAATAGGTCTTAGGAAACCTGCTAGACTCAATACTTCAAAGTCATTTTCACACTTTGGGTGAAAACGTACAAAATTTTGTTACAAAACATTCAGGCGAGGGAAAGTAAACACACTGGGGAGAGGAACAATTACCAGAACTTGTAATATTGTTGTGAGGAGTTGTTTAGCAGTGGGCTGAAGGCTGGGTTCCTGCCAGAGCTACTGATCTACACTCAAACGCCCTTAGATAAATAATTACACTCTTAAGCTGTGTCGAGTGCTGATACACTTGACCTTGTAAATAGAAATGTTTGCAGTAGGAATAAACTCCGGCATTGGAAAATCTTTTAAACATTAACACAAAAGAGAGCGCTCTGTCCTTTGGGGATTTGAGTCTGAACCTCGCCAAGCTAGGCACTTGCAAGGGGGAAAAAAAGTTTATTTATCTTCTATTCCTGGTGTTTATTTAAAGCTTTTCATTTTAAACGCGGTGATTGGAAGGCAAGTCAGGAGTTTAAAAGTCACCACAAATAAACTTTGTCTGAGGGGTCCACAGATTAGCAAGATCTCATGTCTCTTTATATGATATTAACATGTGCTGAGAAAACATAACCAGATTTCTCAGCTGCCTGAAGTAATTAACAAAGCTACGCCCCCTCCCAACTTCCTCCCACCCACTCCCACCTCCTACTTTCAAGGTTTCTTTTCCTCTAAGTGGCTTTCTCCAGCTTTTATGGAGGGCTTCTAGGTGCTTCTTGTTGGATCTAAAACCAAGAGATTTGTATATGGGTAGCATCAGAAAGTCTTAGATAGTTGCAGTGTCAGAGAAGCCTAGGAGTGGTGTGTGGCTGGAAACCCGTCACCTGAATGGTTGAGTAAACATATTGTTAAAACAAAGTCTTTGGGAAATGAACAAAGGGAATGCCAAAAGACTTGTAAATGAAATCAGCTTTCTTTACAAAACGTCAAGTTAGCAACACTCCTGCGTTTGTCCTTAAATATATTTAAATCATCTCCATTTCATGTGATTTTAACACGTTCTTGACTAAAAGTTAAGTCTTTGTCCCAGTAAAAGGCCCAGTTTTCCCCAGTAAGAAGTAAAAGGCATTAGCACTAGAAAAGGCCTGATAATTAACTGCTACAATAAACTCACGACTTGATTTTACAGGGTCCTGTCAAAAGCATCTGCCTGGAATAAATCAACACAGCTAGCTCTTGGGGAGAGAAGACACGAGGCTTTATGTTTTCTTCCTTGAAGAAAGTGAACATTGATCGGTGGTCCATTTTAATTTAAACAGTTCTACACTGGAGCCCAGGAGCCTCCTTTTCCCTCTGCAGACCTAATGGATTCCAGAACAGGTTGCTGAGATGTTAGACCTCCAGCTTTGGTCATGGGATTGCAGGTTGCCATCTGCTCCTAGGCAGAAAGGATTTTCACAGATGTTGACATCTGTAATATCTCATGCTCTCCGGGGAGCCTTTTGGAATGTTGGACATTTGAGATGGAGAATGCCTGGAAGCACCATTACTGAAAGAAAAGGTATCTCTGGCTTTTCCTGGAGACTTAAAAAGAGCCACTCTTCCCACAGAAGTCTTCCAGAGTGAGAGCAACTCCTTTTGAATGTCATGTAAAGTCATGGGTCCTCGCGGTCATCCTCATTTTCCCAGTGAGCAGGTTTGCCTTCTCAGTGACAGTTTATTTGTCTTTGGAGGCACTCCAGTGACACATGTTTAAGGGAGTGTGGGACAATGGTGGGGAACAAGGAGGCAGTTCATTGAACTGACAGTGACCATACAGTAAATAGGAGGTTCAGGCTTCACTGTTCACCCGAGCACACAGCAACGCTTTTGTATATGACCACAATGGACATAACATAAGGTCTCTGTTTATTTTTAACAACATATAGCAATGTACTCAAGCAATATTCATATATAAAGTGGAAAAATGACTGGAGAGAACTAAATTATTGTACTAAGTAGCAGGACCTCCCTTTGCTTGGACAGGCACCCTACAAATGTCCCAAAGTAACGAAGCAGCTTCTGACATCCACTGCTGCACTCTAAAGGGACCACCACAGTCGGACACAAATGGGGTGTACTGCAGCACTCTCAGTATGGTCTGCCTGGGGAAGACAGGACCCAGAACCAGTAGTCTCTCTCCTTTGAAGAGTCAAGAGAAACCATCTGCAGTGGGGTTCCCTTCCTCACCACTCCCTGTGCTTGCACCACTACTCCATCCATCCCAGGGATGTCATGCAGTATGGACTAAAGAGAGTGAGGAGAGGCCAAAAGAACTTTCAGAGCCATCAAATGCTGCATTTGCAAAACGTTCTACTTTAAACTTCGGCTTTGCATTATTAGCTTACTGTGTTCAAATGTGAAAGGTCTCACACATAGGCTCATGTATCCCTTCCAAGCCTATGAAAAGAAAAGCATACATTATTTGCTTTTTGACCTCTTACACCAAGGAACATCAGAAACACTTGTCAGCCGACCCAGTTTCTCCCAAAGCAAGGTTGTTGGGAAGCATCACGTTACAGATGCCTGGGTTTCCAGTGGGTCTCGCTGTCCGGTGAGTTAAGGAGAGTGGGACATTACTGTATTCGGAGAGGGCTTTCCTCTGCTGGACAGTTGAAAAGGTTCACTCTTGACGATCTGAATGACATAAGTAATGTGCGATTAGCATAAATACCTTCTAAGGCATCCATTTAATCAATTTCTTAAATCACAGAATGATCTACTACAAAATAGTGGACTGTATACACTATATTTTGGCACAAAGATGGTCATTCTCCCACTAGTAACCAGGGGCTCTAAATAAATGATTTCAACAATGTTTTATTAAAGGACGACAAGAGCCCTCGAGCTGCATTAATGGGGAGAAGTCGAGTGGCACTTTTGTTATGGAAATGTTAAGCACATAATAGCACTACCGAACAATGTGCAGCCACTTCATTCTTTCAGCCACGCTGACACCTCTTAAAGAGGAGCTGCAGGGAAGGATGTGGGAAAGATTCCTTTCCGAGGAAGCTCTCAGCTAGTATTTTGGAGAGGAACCTTCAAACCTTATGTAAGACACAAGCACCGGAAGCAAGAAGGGCTGCTGAGACGCACAAACTATTTTCTTCCCTAATTTGGGGAGCTTGAGTTCCATAATAAAATCAAATGTCTACATTTTTTGATGTGGCGTCTGTCAAAACTCTGTTGCCAATTTTGTTATGCTACCAGTCTAATTGTATAATGGGGATCAAAGTCTCAGTTACTCTCACTGGAGGCTTTGATGAGGTCTCCTTAAGCAAGCAAAATGCATCTTCAAGTCTGCAAGCAGGTGAAGACACAATGTTGTAAAGGGCATCTTCAATCTGTAACAAAAAAATAAAATAATGTTATGTTCTCAGACTTTATGGGTACCCTTATGTTCTCTCGTTATCAATACCTATTCTTACAGTTCAGTTTCTATATTTGAAGTTCATAAGTTCTATAGGATATTTGTGGGTTTGTGGATGTCAGAATGGCATAATAGCTTACAACTAAATCCTATTGTATATCTCATTTCTGATCAGATGTTACTAAGCACCAACATAAGAAACATTTCAGTGAGGTTGGAGACCTTCCTAGTAGGCATCTCTTTTATGAAAATGACAGTCCAGTCTTCAGTTGTAACCTGTCACCTCTTACCTGTCACTCACACCTATATGGAGCATCCTTCTGTAGCAAACATTGAAGTAAGCTTTTGTGACAACTAAAACTCATGTCTGTAACTCTGAACAGTTGATGGGATGAGGGCATGGACAAAAAGAGTCCATCTTGGTTCTACGGGCATCTGTTGAGGATCTAATGTGGGTAGCAACCAATGTGAATGTTTTGTCCCTGGACAAGCTGGTAGTCAGGATGGGAGATACATGCTTTCAATATCAAATGGCAAGCACGGAGGAGTGTAACTGTATGATTTAGCCCAACATTAGACTGAAGAAAAGCTTCTTGGAGATGGCAACATTGAACCTATGTCTAAAGACAGGAAAAGGAGTTAGCACAGGAAAAAGTGGGGAAAACATTTCCATCAGAGGAATGGATCAACTGTGTGTGTGTGAGATAGAGATAGAGATAGAGATAGAGATAGAGAGAGATAGAGATAGAGATAGAGATAGAGAGAGAGATAGAAATAGAGAGAGAGAGAGAGAGAGAGAGAGACCACCAAAGCACAAAGGAGGAAGTAGCAAGGATGGGGTTTGAAAGAAGGGGTCAATACTGGGTCCTAGAAGTCTTATACATCATGCTAGGCATTGACTTTACCCTGCACGGTATACATGACAAGTAACTGCTGGGAATTCCCAACTGAAAAGCTTCAGAGGTTCACCTTCATTAACAGAGTATATGACGATTTCAAGGTGTGGCAAGCAGAGAACAGTATAACATTTAGGAGGCTACTGCCAGCTGCAGTGGACCAAGCCAAGGACTGGCTGGAAGAGTGGCCATGGAGGGAAAGAAGAAGACAGATTCATGACA